TTCAAGGTTTTCAAGTTCTAGAATTTCAAGTCTGGTGGCATAAGGTATTCTACAACGAGTAGAGGAGTGGAGACTTGTGGACTTCAACTCCCAGAATTTTTCAGCCAGCAGAGGTCAAGTCCACAACTCTTAAAGTTGCCAAGTTTGGAGACCTGCGGAGTAAGGTCTCACAGAAGAAAATCTCAGAATATTTGGATCTGAAGTCCACAAGTGTCATGCCCCTGTCGGAATCTGATTCGGAGGGGGAAGCCAAAACAGCTGACAGGGAGTGGGAGTGTGGCGATGTTGGCTGTGGAGGAAACTGGGAAGGGCAAAGTCCAGCTGGGCAGAGCAGAGGAGAGGGAGAGCAAGAGAGAGGGAATTCAGAGGAAGACCCAGGCACACACACTCCCTCTTCATCCTAGGGCACGCAGGGAGGAACGGAGAAGGGAGCAACGTGAGTTGCATGGTTTACGGGGGGAGGAAAGGGCCCTGATTCCCTTCATTTGCTGCAGCTGGGAACACAGCGCTTAAAAAGGGAAGCTGCACGCAGCAAACTGCTGGGAGCAAATCGTGAATTTATCTGGTATCGTTGTGGCTTATCGTGTTCCTGGTGTCTTCCCAACTGTGTGAGTTTTGCCGTGCTTTCAAGTATGAAATTCCTTCTCCTGCCCTGTCAAATTAATTACTGCAGCTTGGTTTGTTTGGATTTTTATTTATAGTTTGTATGTACCTTGTTTTGGATTGAATTTTCTACAGTTAAAGGATTTTTGTGGGAGAGTTTTTCTGCAGCTGAAGGTAACCTGGACAATGGGAGCAAAGTTGGGGGTAATAGAGGGACTCTTCTTGCTTATTTAACTGTGTTGCCTTTGTGCCACGCCCCTTTGGGTCATTACAACAAGTCTTAAAGTTGCCAAGTGTTGGGACCCCTGCTGTGGAGAATAATAAATCGACCACCTCTTCCCCGGGAGAGCCCATCAAGCCTTGGAAGATGTCAACCCTCTGGTTAAAGGGAGGCTCTGAAGTGCCTGAGGGAGCTGGGCAAGGCACCCCTCCAGTGTTGAGCAGCACCAAGTTCCTGAACCCTTTCAGTTCCTGCCTCCAGGCCCCCAGACCCCTCCTTCAAGCCGAGTGCCCAGGAGATGAACCAGCCCAGAAAAACCCCATTCAGGGGCCCTTCACTCGTGCAATGCAAGGTCCATGGCACATTTCTGCCCCTCTGAACTTTCTGCCCCTGATTTGGCCCCTTGCAGTGAGGCGTGGGGGCAGAGAGGGGTCCTCTGGGAAGCTGAGCACACGAAGGTCCTCAACACCAGGGGAATCGCCGAGGAGCTCAGGTGGGGTATACGTGTACCCACAGGTGAACATGCCCATCATGCCAAGCCAACTGATGATGCCTGACCGACATATAAAATACACCAGCACATCACAGGGGCAGGGTGAGCACTAAACCGAGGACAAACAAGCCACATGATGGCTTCGCCCACTGTAACAGGCAGTCCTTGACTTGAAACCAGGGGTGGGCTGCTGGGGGTTCGCAGGGGTTCGGGAGAGCCCCTAGTTAATATTCTGTGCAGTTTGGAGAACCCCCAAATCCCATTCCTGGCTCGGCCCACCCACCCCTCCCCTCCCCTCCCCGGGGTCCCCACACGGCCCATTTTGGATGCAGGCAAGTGCAGGGCGTGCACGGAGGCTCGGCGAGGGCGAAAAACAGGCCTCCCGGAAGTTCGGGAAGGCCGAAAATGGGCCCGTTTCTGGCTTCCAGAGAGCCTCCGGAGCCTTGGGAGGCCATTTTCGCCCTCCTGGAGGTTGGAGGAAAGCCTCCGGAGCCCTCGAAGGGCAAAAACACCCCCTCCCCATCGTGGTGCAGGAGGCCGGCTAGGCCACGCCCACCATGGCCACGCCCACCCAGCAACCGGGCAGAGAACCCGTTGCTAAAATGTTTGAAGCCCACCCCTGCTAGCAACCATTCATTTAGTGACCGTTCAAAGTTACAACGGCACTGAATAAAATGACTTTTATGAGCGGTCCTCACAGCTATAAAGATTGCACCCTCCCCATGGTCACTGATGATCAAAATTCGGGCACTGGGCAACTGGCATATATTTTGGGTGGCTGCAGCCTCCTGAGATGACATGACTGCCACTGGCCAGGTGCACACCCAGTTTCCAACAAGCAAAGTCTAATGGGGGAAACTGGGTTCACTCCAGGACCACATGATTCACTTAAGAACTGCAGGGATACACTTATAACAACTGTCAGCCACAACAGCCACCGCAAACAGGTTGTAAAAATCACTTAACAACTGTCTGAGTTAGCAACATAAATTTTGACCCCCCCAATTATGGCCATCCGTTTAAGCACTACCTACAAGCAAGTAGTCAGTCTGTGAAGCAAAAAAGGCTCCATCTCTGCCACACACCCAGAGAAGGTTAAAGTGGGGCTGGCCAGAGTTGGGCTCAAACAACCTGCCACTTGACTCTCTTAGCCTGAAGTGTGAACCGGGCAGGACGTGATTTGCCTGCAATTTGGCAGTTCGAATCCCACCAGGCTCAAGGCTGACTCTGCCTTCCGTCCTTCCGAGGTGGGTACAATGAGGACCCAGATTGTTGGGGTCAAGAAGCTGACTCTGTAAACCCCTTAGAGAGGGCTGGAAAGCACCACAAAGTGGTATATAAGTCTAAGGGCTATTGCTATTTTCCTTCCTTCCCAGTATTGCAGGTTTGCAGGCTAACTCTGCCAGCAATTCAATCCTGACCAGCTCAAGGTTGACTCTGCCTTCCGTCCTTCCAAGGTGGGTAAAAATGAGGACCTGGGTTGGGGGGGGGGGGGGGGGGGGGGCAAGAGGCTGACTCTGTAAACTGCTTGGAGAGGCCTGGAAAGCATGTAAAGCGGTACATAAATCTAAGTGCTATTGCTAAGGAGGGAGGGAGGGAGGGAGGGGAAGGCGGGAAGGAAGGTAAGAGGAAGGAAGGATGCTATCTTGGTGCAGTGATTAGAGTGAGTATTGCAGGTTGACTCTGTCCACAGCTAGCAGTTCGAATCCCACCAGGCTCAAGGTTGACTCTGCCTTCCGTCCTTCCGAGGTGGGTAAAAATGAGGACCCAGGTTGTTGGTGGGGGGGGGGGGGGGGGGCAAGAGGCTGCCTCTGTAAACCGCTTAGGGAGGGCTGTAAAAGCACTGTAAAACGGTACAGAAGTGCTATTGTTATTTATTTATTTGGGTAGCCATGTGACTTAAACAGGTCTTGTTGAGCGAGTTTAGCATGTTTAGTGTTGAGTCACAGAGCTGGAAGGGATCTCAGAGATCTTCTAGTCCAACCCACTGCTCATGGCAGGAGACCTGATACCATCCCAATAAAAAAGGTTGTCCAGTCTCTTTTTGGAAACCTCCACTGATGGTACATCTGCTATACTCCGTGCGTACCATAAGGCAAAACGTCTGTTATTTGAGCCCCAAACCCAGCAGAAATCACCCCCATTGGCAGGGCTGTCTTAACACAGGGGCCGGATGGGCACTTGCCTGTGGGCCTCACAAGCATAGGGGCCCCATACTAACCTGTGTATGTTAACCCTTCAATGCACCTTGTATCATATACATACAGCAACGTTTTTATTACATTTTACTACCTTTTTGTATTAATAGGAACATGCAAATCTATGTTTAATTTTATCGACCCCTTGCATTTTTATTCCTGTGAGTAGTTGTCGTGGGAGCCCCAGGAAACTGCTTTGCCCGGGTCCCATAACGCTGCTAAGACGGCCCTGCCATCAAGTGCCACCATAGCTGCCCAGTGACTCTCCTCCGGGCCCAGACTTGCAGCCTCAAAAGCCAGTTCCACCCTCTCCGTGCATCATGAACGTTGTGCACACAAATCTTTGGCCCACATTGTGGCGCAACGTTCAGCCCGCAGCGGAGAAGAGACTTCCCCAACCCGGGCAGCAGCGTTTGTGCTCGGCCGAGAAGAAAAGGGGCAGAAATGGAGAAGGGAACCAGGCGTCCCCGCCGGAAGCCGCAGAACCGGCTCCAAGACTGCACACTCCCGCTTGATTGGACCGCGAGCCTCTGGACCACGGTCCCGCCCCGCTACCCCAGCCCGGCTTGGGAGCCGCTGCTGCCGCTGCTGCTTCACCTGGCTAAGTCCCCCGCTCTCGGGTGAACGAACCGGCCGAGCAGAGGTGGGCGATGAGGATGCTGAGCATCCGGCTAAGAAGGGAGGGGAAGAGCCGCGGCTCCTGGGCGTCCTCTAAAGACGGTTGAATGGCTCAGCAAAACCAAATCCCTCCGGCCGGCGAAGCCCCAGGTGGATCCGCAGGGGCGGCTCTTTCGGCCCCACCCCAAGAAGCCGACTCCGACCCGGGCAGGCCAAGGGAGCAAGCTCAGCCGCCCCCCCAACCAGGTTGCCCAGGTGGACGGCCCAGGGGGCCGCGGGGGTGGGGAGGGAGGGGGCTGCGTTTGGGGAGGGGGCCGCCCAGGGGACCCTCCGACGGCCACGTGATGCGGAGCCACGGGCGTCGCCCGAAAGGATCCCCCTTCCGGCGCCCACCTCCCGGGCTGCTCACCTGCAGCCGGCCGGGGTGGAGCTGCAACCGGGGCGCCCCGCGGGGGAACAGCCTGGCCAGCCAGCGCGGCAGGATCGCCAGCAGGGAGCCCGGGGGCGCCTAACGCCACGCAGGTCCAGAAAGAGGCTCCGCGGCGGCGGCGGCGGCGGGGGAGGAGGAGGAGGCGGCGGCCCGGCCTCGCAACCCAGCAGCCTCCACACCTTACGGGAGGCGCCGGTTCGCCTCCGGGGATTCCTCAATGAATCGCCCCCGCGCTCAGGGCCGTTGGAAGACTGGAATCTCGGCACAGCTGCCAGTCTCTCTCTCCCCCCACCCGGCGCTTCTCCCCCTCCTCTCCTGCTGCTTTCGCCCCCCAGCCCTGGGGCCCCCACTGGTCAGTCTGCCCTCCTGCCCCGCTCGGGAGGGCCCGTCCCGACAAGCGGCGCCCCCGCGAATCCTGCACCGCCGCTGCAGCCCTACCTGAGCCGGGGCAGGTGCAGCTGGCAGATGCAGCGGCGACGGCGGCTCCGCTCCGGGCTCGGTCGGCGTTGCCGGCTGGAGGGCGGAGCAGCCAGGCAGAAGCAGCCCCCGCCCCGCCCTGGAAGGCGGCAGGAAGAGCCGCTAGCCCGGCACACTCCGCGCCCCCGGCTGGACTGGCCCGGAGGAGGAGGAGGAGGAGGAGGAAGCGGCGCGGGCTGGCTCGGTGGAGCCTCCCCGCCCAGCAGCAGCCTAGCTCCCCCGTTGTGCAGCCCCCGAGCCCGGCCTCTTCCAGGCTGAGATCGAAGTCCGCGGCCCCCGGGATCGGCTCCCTCCTGCCTTCCTCCACGTTGGGCCAAAGTCCCGCCGCTCCCGTGGACCCCAAGCTCCCCCCTCCAGCTGAGCCCCAGCGAGTCCAGCCAGCGGAGGCGCAGGATCGGGCGGGGCGGGACGCCCCCAAGGCTGCCCCAGTCCAGGGAACTCCACGCGGGGTGGGTCGACTCGCAGGTGCAGACCTCCCCCGCCCGGACCCCCTTCCGGGGGGCTGCTGCACCCCACCCGCGGCCCACCCTCTCCCGATTTGGCCGGTTCGGTTCCTGCAAGGGTGCGGGGCTATTTTATTACATGCATGCAGTATTATAAAAATATATAGAGATGCCTAAAAGCGCTTTAAAAGCAACGTCGGAAATCGAACTCAAACGCAATGCAAGGAAATGCTTTGAACGGCGCGTTTTCTCCTTCCCTTCTAGGTTCCCAATCAATACTCGGGTTATTTGCATTTTTTTCTTCGAAGAGGAAGGTTATTGCGCGTATCCATTAAAAGCTTTCCTGGCCTTGGGAATTCTGGGAGTTGGAGTCCACAAGCCTTAAAGTTGCCAAGGTTGGGGACCCTTACATTAAATCATTGCCTCTTTTCCTTGTTGTGTCTCCTGTGTCTTTTTCTTAGAAGCTCCGTTCCAAATGTTTAAACTTGCCAATGCAAATGTCACTCCAGCTTAACCTGGTTAAACTTCTGTTACCACGCAGTTAGGTTTGCCGCTGCTGCATTTTTTTCTGATTTTGCTCTCTCAGTCTAGTATTGTGAACAAGGATTTACTTTTCCAATATTGGGGAAAATTTGTTCTTATCACTATCCACGTGTATCTTGGTAAGCTGATCACTCCAGGAAAACCCTGGCTGAAGAGTATAAATAAGTATGTGAGAGTGTATATCTATCTATATACATACTCTCTCCAGCCAGGTTTTTCTAAATGCATTTTGTCTATGACCTCTAAAAGGAGGTCCACTCCAAATTGTCAAAGCTAAAAATACTACTACTGCCTTTTCATTATTAATGCATCTATCATAAACCTGCCGTTGTCTTGTATCTTTCTGGGTTTGATATGTATATAGGATTTCAGAAATACTACGTTCAGCTGATTACTGGAGTAAAGCTTTTGATAGAGATGAGCGGTTAAGAAATGTAAAATATAAATACATTTTAGCAGAGTTGGATTTTCAATTATTTCAATTACTTTCAGTTTGTGGGCAGGCCTGGAAAAAGGCTAATTTACAGATAGATTTCAAGGCAGCCTACAGGTTGGGATTTCCTTAACTGGCCCGATGAATGATCTCTGGGAATTACCAAGGAAAGCATGACTCTGCTCATTTTCCTAGACTTCTCTGCTTCTTTTGATGTTACTGACGTTGATCTCCTTCTAGATTTGGAAACAGGAGACAAGGTGGTGCAGCATTCTGATTGCAGAGAAGAGCAACAAGGATGATTAGAGGGCTGGAGGCTAAACATAACTAAGAATGTTTACAGGAAATGGGTGTATCTAATCTAGTGAAAAGGACAAGGGGTGACATGATTTCCATATTCCAATATATTTGAGAGGCTTCTATAAAGGCGGTCAACTATATTCCAAAGCACCAGAAGTCAAAACAACAAAAACAGATGGAAACTAACCAAGGAGAGAAGCAACCTAGAATTAAGGGGAAATTTCCTAACAATGAGAGCAATCAATCAATGGAACGGCTCGCCTTCAGAAGTTGTGGGTGTTCTATCACTGGAGGCTGCCGTGCCCCTGGTGGAGTCGGACTCTGAGGAAGAGGAGGAACAGCCAACAGGGAGTGGGAGTGTGGGCTCCAGAGGTGGTGGAGGAGGCTGGGGAAGGGCAGAGGCCGGCTGAGCAGTCAGAGGAAGACCCAGGCCCATCCCCTCTCCATCCTAGGTCACGCAGGGAGGAGAGGATCAGGGAAAAGCGAGGTCTACTCAGGAGGAGATTACTATGATCCTCCTTGTGGCTTGCAGGTGGGAGTTATGTATATAAGTTTGCAACTGTGCAGTTAGAATTTGCAGGAGTCAATCTTTGCTGGTGTTCTTCCCATGGATTCTCCTCAATTATTTTCCTGGAGTTTATGATAAGTTATCTTGGCTTGCTTCGGAACTCTCGTCAATGGGGTTTGTTTGGTTTTCTTTTTGCCTCATTATTTACTTTTGTGACTTTAGACTGTGCCTAATAAAACAGTGAAGTTGTTGAAGGCCTTACTGGACTTTAATATATGTTTTGGGTTTTGGATTATTTTGAGAGACTACGGGTCATCACAGAGGCTTTCGAAAAGAGACTGGACAATAATTTGTCTGAAATGGTATAGGGTCTCTTGCCCAAGCAGGGGGTGGACTAGCAGACCTCCAAGGTCCCTCCCAATTCTGTTATGCTGTGTTCTATGATCTCTCAGGGATTGCTTGGAGACGCAGCCCAGGAATGACATAGAACAATCAGTTCAGTTTTTGCTTTGGTCGCACTAAGAGACAGAATCTTGCCAGACCAAAATTTTACTACAGGTAATCCTCACTTAATGACCAGTCACTTAGTGACTGTTCAAAGTTACGATGGACACACACACACACACACAAACACACACACAGAGAGAGAGAGGCTACTTATGACCTAGTTTTGAAGTTCCAACAGCTGCACCTATCCCTGTGGTTACAAGTCACATTTCAGCTACCTGGCAACTGGCTTACGTTGACAGTCATGGCTCTCCAATTGATTGTGATTGATATAACATTATCTATCCCATATTGTTTTATCTTATCAAGAAATAGGCTGTGATCTACTTTGTCAAATGCCTTACTGAATTCCAAGTATACTGCAGCATTTCTCTGATCCCATAAATTTAGTCACTTTATCAAAAAAGGCAGTAAGGTTTGTCAGGCGCAACCTATTTTTAACAAAGCCAGTAATTACCTTGTTCATTTGTGGATACTCACAAATCTGTTGCATGATTATCCTTTCCAGGATCGTCCCAGGTATTGATGTCAGGATGATTGGTCTGTAGTTTCCCTGATCCACTTTTTTGCTCTCTTTTTGAACATTGGAACCCCATTAGCTCTTTTCCAGTCCTTTGGCAGTTCCTCCATGCTCCAGCAGCTCTGAAAGATTTCATTCACTGGTTCCAAGATCACATCTGTCGGCTCTCCCGTACCCTGGGATGTAAACCCTGCCCCGAAGTTCCTACAAGTTTCATTCTCCCAACTAAAAGAGGGATACAATTAAGACCAAGGGAGGTACCAATACCACTCTATAAAGCCTTAGTAACACCACACCTAGAGTCCTGCATCCAGTTTTGGTCACCACACTATAAAAAAGATGTTGAGACTCAAAAAAAAATGCAGAGAAAGGCAACCAAGATGATGGGAATGGAGGCTAAAATATACGATGAATGGTTACAGGAACTGGGCCTGGCTAGTCTAGTGAAGAGAAGGACCAATATTTGAGGGGCTGCCACAGAGAGGAAGAGGTCAAGCTATTTTCCAAAGCACCCGAAGGCCAGACAAGGAATAATGGATGGAAACTGAACAAGGAGAGATTCAATCTAGAAATAAGGAGGAATTTCTTGACACAGAGAGCCATCAACCGATGGAACAGAAGTTGCCTTTGGAAGTTGTGGGAGCTTTATCACTGGAGGCTTTCAAGAAGAGACTGGACTGCCATCTGTCAAGGAATGGTGTAGGGTCTGCTGGGTGGGGGGGTTGGACTAGATGATCTACAAGGTCCCTTCCAACTCTGTTAATCTGTAACTAGTGAGACCACACTTGGAATACGGCTGCAGCTGCCAAAACAGCTAATGCAGTTCTGGGCTGCATCAACAGAGGGGATAGCATCAAGATCACAAAAAGTGACGGTACCACTTTATACAGGATAGCCGTCTTCCAATACTTGAAGGGCTATCACAGGGGAGAGGGGTCTATTTACTCTCCACAGTACCTCAGGACAGGACAAGAAGCAATGGGTGGAATCTTGTCAGGGGGAGATCCACTTTGGAAATAAGGAGGAATTTCCCAAGAGTAAGAATGATGAATCAGTGGAACATCACTGTACTGGAGAAACTTTTGTGCAGGATGGAATAAGGATCCCTGCCTTAAGCAGGACTAGAATTCCTATGACTCTATGATTAAAACATTAAAGCCTTCACCTTTCTGACTTTAACAGATAAGGCTGGTAATTAAGTACGCAAACTTTCCAGATAATTTAATCTGCAACAGGAACAGGAAGTTAACAGAGAAACAACTGCTGGCCTGATGCCAAGGCTATCACCAATAATGCTATGGCAGTCTTCAAGGGATTTTAGGGCAAGGATATGAGGCCCAAGAATGAAGGTTTTTCAGAGACATGGGGTTTCTCTAGCTAAATCTAGCTATACCGGTCCTACATGACAACATTTAGGGTGCACAGGGCACCGGATCTGTTTTTGGTTTGTTTCAGGACACATGACTTCACTTTCTCTGTGGTCGGAATAAAGCAGAGGTCTCCAAACTTGGCAACTTTAAGACTTGTGGACTTCAACTCCCAGAATTCTCCAGCCAGCATAGTTTGGAGAGCCCTGGAATAGAGGCTGCAGGGTTATGTGTGCATGCAAACAGGGTCATTTTGATGCTCTCCCTCCTTGCTGTTCAGAGCTGGTTATAGGTCACTGGCCCTGTGTGGAGCTGGATGAAAGCACTGAGTGGCTCCAGTCTAGGAAATTGGAAGGAGGACAAACACCTTGGAGGTCCATAACAAGTTTCCAGACAACCGAGGAAGTTGGAATAATGAATAGTAGCTTCAAGATGGAGTTCGACAAAGACAAATCTGCAGCTCTCTATTTGTGTAGGAAAAATATTACCCAGCGCATGGCAGCGA